GAGCAGCTTTACGTGACACTTTAGGTTTTTCCTTTTCCCTGTCATAATTTTTAACTTTGACTTATGGCCTGATAAAGTTTGGATTTAGGGTTTATTTTCACTCATAGTAACCCTGAACAAGTTGTATAGTAAGCAAGCTAATGATGGTAGTCAACATTAGAGATTCAAACATGTATGATCAGCACCGAGTCGGCACATGCCTAAAAAAACTTGATCATGGTTCTGATGGGTACTTGGAATCGAAACGGCATGTGCCGAGATTTGCTGCATGAACGCTCATCACGAACCGAAATCTCGCCCTCGGTGATGAAATTAAACATATACTGATTCATACTAGTATGACATGACAATGGAGGGAAGTGCAGCTATATATATGGTTGGATGTTTGTGGTAAATCCATGTTTTATTTCTATAATTTATACATATAATAGTGCTTGAATCGTGTTTATTTACAAATGTCATCTTTGTTTCTCATACAAAGTAAAGTCATGCAGTAACCTTCAAAGTTTACTTTTTGCTAAATCATTAGACACTATGTCCTAGAACTTAAATCCAAATTGACTTTACAAAAACAGCTGTTTGTCGGTTGTTAGCTCTAAATAGCATTGAAAACCCCCTGGACGAAAATTGACTCCGCTTCTATTTTCTGCTGGGTTTCTATTCTATACATGGTCACTGGGCCAATCAATCCATAAATCATCTTCAACAAGTGTTCCTCTGATTATAGAACCATGGCACCTGGAACAGTGTATACAATGTAGATAAAGGTTATTTCTTCCTGAATTTTACTGTCCGTCTTTAATTAATTTGTGTTTTTATTATTTCAGATCAACAACAACACACATAGCCTGTTTTTTTTCCTGTTATTTGTGCGACTTCTTCCAATGATGCCAAACTGGTTTTTAAATCTGGCTTCTCCGGTGCTCAATATACCACTACACCTTTTCTTTCTATCAGTTTTTATAGGTGAGTAAACTGTGCACTAGTGATTAAACCAATGATTGATTCAAAGATTAAATTAAAGCGAGAGTGTCATCATCTGTGCACGCGATGATAACAACAACACACGCTCAGAATCCAAAGGCTCATGGGTAGATGCTTGTTTGTAAACAATGACACGCTATGGCCAACTGACGCATGTGTAGGTGATGACTCCCCTGCTTTAAACTAATGACATAATAACATTTTTAACTAACACTTTGATCTTCCACTCTGAAATAACTCTTCAATCTTCATCGATATTACATGAAATATTTCATGATCTGAATTTGTGCAAAATATGTACTTATTAAAATGATCATAATAGTGCTTGATTTGGAATGACAACAATCATTTGATTCTTTCTTTTTTAATGTTTGTCTACACAACTACTCATCACCTGTATTTTGAATTGCTGCTCCTCACAAATATTTCCCATAATGCCATGCATTTTCAGACCATCAAATAAATCGCATAAATTGTTCAGACACCAATAAAATAATTGGAATGATCTTAGAGTACAACTTTTAGGTCGTGAAATAAATAGATCATAATAATATATTTAAAAAAAACATTTCTAATTGTCAAATCATGTTGCCAACAATGTAAGTTCAAAAAATCTCAGAAAACTGTGTATATAAATTTGGTTGCTCAGAATTACGTTGAGTTTGTGCTGTTTTTTTGTGTGCATCATAGCAGCATAGAAAATTATTTGATGTGGTTCCGCCTTGAGAATTAACTATCATCCCCATCCCTGCTAGAAATTAATAATTGATCTACTTCATTTATTGCCCAAATACCAGAAGCTACTTTTTAATATGTCTTAGAATATTTTATGTTTTTTTACAGGTTTGATGCCATATAACTTCATATGTGTAGAAACTGGGTGTATATTATCTGAAATTAGTTCTATGGAGGAGATTTTTACTTCATGGACATTATGCAAATTAACTGGAACCG